CAATATATTATTATCTCTCTCACAAAAGATTAAAATGAAAAAGTTAGATTTATTCCCTTTGTCTTAAAAATAAAAGCACTAAAACAGGTGGAAGGATCCAAAGGAGAACAGTACCTTAAATGGAAGATACAATGAAACGTCCTGCTGAAAACACGGGGAATAAATCTCTTGATTTTTCAGACCATCCTTTATTTCTTTTTTTAAGGTGTTAAATTTGTGAGTTATCAGTACACATGAAATAGAAATGTCTGTGCTCCACCCCCAATATCACAAAAGTTTAGACCCAGAAAGCGCCATCTAGACATCTAGTCTGGAGATTCTCAAATAGAGGTAGACATCAAAACCACAAGGAATTATAAATTATTCAGGTCTGCATCGCTCTACTGAATCAGAATTTAAGCATATGTGTTTTCAAAGGCAACTCCCTGGTTAAGAACAATTGAGTTCAACTATTTCATTTCACTGAAGAAACTGATAAGCCAACTAAAAACTCCAATAACAGACACTTGCTTCTGTATATTCTGGAGCTTAAATAGAAATGGTAAACTATTTTGTCCTTAAATTAATAAAATAGTGCCATACGTAGTGAATTTGAGTGAATATGCTAACAATTCTTCATTTTATGGTTCCAATAAGTTCAGTGACTTGTAGGAAATTATAGAACCAATCCATGTCAAAGCCAGAAATCTCCAAATGTTCTCTCTGCCCTTTTAAGTTACTTAAAACTTACAAGATGTTTAACCTATCATGTTAAAAAAAATGAATAAGGAAAAATTCATTTTTTGGAGGTTTAATATTTCAGATAATACTCTATATGACCTATGATTTAAAAGCAATATTAATATTCAACTTAGCCGTGGTAAAGATTATATAGAAGAGCTAAGTCATCTGAAGTGTGACAACCTGTCATATTCCTATGCAACAGAAATCATTGAGAATAAAATTTGTTACCATCTTCTATTGATACAAAAATGGAATTCTCCTTTTCTCCGTCAAGGAATATTTAGGCAGTTGTGTGTCTTTTGAGAATTCTGGGGCTCCCCAGCTCTGACGTTGAGTCAGAGTCTCTGTGTTAATCTCCATCAAATGAGATTAAGCAAATCTTCCTGGAGAGGGAGGGCATGAGAGAAATGAAGGCTTTTGTATTTGGACCGAGAGCGGCTGGACTGATTCCACACTGATGGAGGGTTTGTAATCCTAGCGAGAAAGCAGAACCTGAGGTTTTAGCCGTTCCAATTGAACACAGTGAAAGGACAATTGGGACCTGACCACTAATTAACTAAGCCCCATGCACTCGAGGGCTGCAGAGAAGGTGCTGGGAGCCAAACTTGACATGAAAGGGTTGGAATCATATGGCAGATTAACCTATCTTTGAAAGGAGCATGGGAATGACCCAACAGGCGTTTCGGCAGCAGCCAAGTGACCTCCAGAGCGGGGGTTTATCCCTCACAATCCAGGCTGAAGCCACCCAACACTTACTCTACAATCCCAAAGGGCAGAAACGGGCGACTTTCAAATGACTGATGTGGAGTTTTCAACCATATGGTGGTGAAGGTAAAGGCAGTTTTATTTTTCACTGGAAAACACATAAATTCAGTTTGGTTTTTGCACCTGAGTGCTTGGGAGAAAACGGATATCTGTAGTATACCAGTATATACAATATGTATAAATTTTTATATAGTTGTATGTGAATAAAAACTTTGTTTTTTCCACATGTTAGTTCAATTGCACTATTTCTGTTTCTCCTGCTGTTATCAAAAGTAAGCATTCATTATTCATGTAAGATACAGAAGCAAATGAAGGCAAAATGATAGGGAAACAGTAGAATAGTTTGATCACACATATTTAAATAGCCATAAGAAACAGCTATTTTCAAATATACCTAAAAAAGTTACATGAGAGAATAAATCTTACACTACTCATTCTTAACATGTGTATCTTATGTGCCAAGGATTTCAAATTTTCTTTTCTCCTCACATTGTTTTTTTAGGTTTACTGAACCATAAAGAAAGGAAAATAAGAAAACTGGCTCATTACTACAAAAGTCTTCTCATCCTGGTTTCAAAGTCTTCTAATTTTCTGCTTTTTATCTAAACTCACATTGACGATGCTACATCTAATCAGAAGGAAATGATGCAAACATGAAAAAGTTAACTTAAAGCTACACCCATTCCAAGTTTGAAGAAGCAGCATGCCTCCTGTCAACGGCCCCGCCTGGACTGGTCTGGAGAGTCCCACCACACACAAAGCAGGCTGCCGCCTCACAGGCAGACGCGAGTGCTTCATCGACGGAATAAAGCCCCCTCCTGTTTATCACAATTATTAAATATTTTGCAGAAACATCACATTCGATGCCTTTCTTTTTCTCTTCTACTTCAAAGCCTTCAGCATTTCACCGTTTGTCTTTTACCAATGTTGGTGAAAACAAGCATATATGAAACTCAAATTGGACCCTGTTTTATTTCAGTTGTTTATGTTGTCTATTTTAGCCAGGCTTTATTTCAAAATTATGAGTTTTTAGCTCATTCTGTCTGACTTAGTGTCTTTGTAATGATTTTTGTTGCAACTTATTACTATAGAATGTATTATTTGTCCACTTATGTACTATTTATTCCTGCATAAAAATGCAATATTTGGTAGAATATTGGTGCAATATTTAACTTAGCAGGCTTGGGCACTCAAACTCTACATGTTCCAAAGGAAGTTATGGCCCCTTACTGCCTCCCGGAAGATAACCTCTGATTGGTGGAATATCCTGCCCGATTACACTGTGCTTGATACCTGACACCTTGGGCTATGCCAAATAGTTTATGCTAATGATATGATTCATGATTAAAGCCTATTTTTAAACCTGGGGCTTTGGACCACGCTGTATGAGTTGAACACTGAAAGAGCTGAAGACTGATTATCTAAGGTGTATGCATTGTGATTGACCCGAATAAAAACCCTGGGCACCAAGGCTTAACTGAGCTTCCCTGATAGGCCACACTTCAGACATGTTGACACACATCATTTCTGAGAGCATTAAGTGCCATCCACGCAACTCCACAAGGCGAAGACACCTGAAAGCTTGTGCCTGGTTTCTCCTCAACTTTGCCATCTCTTTTGCTATTTTTAATCTATAACTTTTCACTGTAATAAATCCTAACCATGAGTAAAATAGCTTTTCTGAGTCTTTTTCATCAATCATCAAATCTGGGTGTAACCCTGGGGACCCAGACTCCATTTCTAAAAGCTATCAAATGTTTAGAACATTTTTTAACTTTTTTCAACAATCTTTTGTCTCCATAACGTCTTCTCATGGAAGGACATCATCAATTCAATGGTATTTCTGTTCTTCTTATAATTGATACACGAACTATGATTAGGAGTCAGGTAATTTCAATGATTTCCTTGTACATCATAAAGTATTTAAATCAATTAATATAATATAATCTAGTTGGTGAACTTTATTTAGTTTGAGAATTTTATTTCCTTTCCAACTCTGCTGCTTTCTGCTACAATAAACTCCTGTTGTTGCTGAAGTTATGGCTGAAATCATGGACTAAAATAAAGTTAATCACATTATGGAAATTAGATGATTTACCTGAAAGTAAAAAGGAACTCTGACCCAAGACACATTTGAAAATAGGCCATAAGTGATCTCACGTAATTAGACCCAGAGGCTGGGTAGGCCCCTGAGGGCTTCAGGTAGGAGTTCAACAATCGAGCAAGGGCCAGCTTTCTTCTGTCTCAGGTCTGCTGCCTTCAGGGTTCCTACCATTAGGCAGCACCCCATTCCCCTCCTTGAGGTCTGAAAATGGCAACAGCAAGTACATGTATAAAATCCAGATGCTAGAAGGTCTAGAAGAGGTCGTTACCTTTATTTACATCCTACATGCAGGTGAGGAAACCTTTCCCCAGAAAGAACTTCACTCCTATCTCAGAGACCATCATAGGGTCGCATATTCATGCCTAAAGGAACCCCAAAGTGGGATGAGATTAGCTTGACTGATTTAGGGAAAGCATTTTGGATGAACAAAGATAAAACAACAGGGCCACTACGCATCCCTAACTGGTGGCTAGAACATTGATGGCCCACGTCTGTTTCTGGTCATGGCTATCCAGACATTAATTGTAATTCTGTATTTAGGTATCTGCCTTCCTCGGGGAAAAGAAGGAATTTGTCACAAATTACCCTTTCCTCGTAAAAAAACATTGTCAGTACAAGATTGTCAAAATATGTCAGTGAATACAGGTCAGTCTTTCAAAGCATTTTTTTCTAATTTCAACTAGTGTGGTCCTTTAGTGAAAATCAGGTCTGTTGCTAAAGAATACACAACAAGCCAGGACTAGTATTGCAGCATTAACCTGTGTTGTACATCACTTATTTTCTGAAGCCAGTCAGTGAATCCACCTTGAGCAGATATTTTTTATGTCAGGCTTTCTGAAAAATGAGGAGCCTAAGGGGATCCCATTGATTTGCCAACTGTGTCACAGTCCGTTTAAGGCAGAATGGCACGTGCTTGTGATACAGCCGATGACAAATGGATATGTACTGAGGGGACAGTAGCAACACAGATGAATGAAGGAAACGATGAAAGTGTACAACAGGAGGCAGAAATCGAAAGAAAATTTAAGATTATAAATGACAATGAAATATATTACGTATGTGTATACAATATGTTGAATTAGATAAAAGTAGGTGCCTATGAGACTAACAGCACTTTTTAGAATAATTTCTCAAATTTCACGCAAATTATTGCCAAGAGTTGTAAATCCAAAGAGTTAACCATTTGTTTTATAATATTTACATCAAACTATATATAGCAGTGAATAGAATATTTTTCTACTACTATAAAGTGAAAATATGTCGCTTGAGTTTCTGTTTTCTAATGTTAAGTATGTACACAAATGTACATCTATCAACATGTCACATAGGCAAAAGTTAGCTATATGTGCAGCAGTTAATTTATGCCAGCCCTCATTAAGTTATATTAATAATATTCATGGATACTAACGAGATACAGATCTTTGCAGGCAGAAGTGTGCTCACAGGCATTCAGGTTGCAGTCATCGATGTCCTGTTCACATCTCAGGCCAACACAGGCCGCACTGCATAAGCAGGAGAAGCCAACAGCCACTGAAAACAACAAAACAGAGAAAACTCTTAACATTCCTTTAATGATGGTATAGGTCATGCTAATGACTTTAAAGATATTGTATTCATCTAAATGCATTTCACTTTTAACTGAGGAAAGTATAAATTTTTATATTTAATACTCTACTACACAGTTCTCTACAAAATTCTTTAAATAACTCTTTTGCTCAGTACTATTTAACTTAAAAACTTCAACTATTTGAAAAGAACAATTACAATGGACATTTGGTCAGTTTGCAAAACAATGATGAAAATATCCAATTCTCTTTCCTCTCTGTCTCTTTTTCTGTCAGTAAATAATACCTATGATAAATAGGTTACTTTTATATCAATTGACTTTTCTCAGATTGCTTTAGGTTTAATAAACATGAAGTTAACCGGTTGTTCCAGTTCGTTGTGTCACAAGGCACATTAAAGTGCGGAGTGATCTGAAAGTCGATACTGACCGCTTCGGCCTTAGTTAAAAAGGGCTTTCACTTTTCGTCATAATCCTTTTAAAAGTCATGATCAGAGTCTGTCCTCCATTTTATCATTAGTGATGGAAAAAGACCCATCTTTGAAGCGTCTCAGGGACATAGTGACGGCATGAATTGTGGCTGGAGCAGGCACAGATCCCCGACTGCTTCTAGTGGGCGTCTGGCTTCTTTATTCCTGAGCCTCACCGTGTAAGCTACGCTGCCGCGCTGCCTCGTGCATGTAACTGCCATCACACTCATGAAACATGCAGGCCCTGGGTGGCAACAGCGTTTACAGTGCTCTGTGAAGTATTTAGCCGGCTCCTAGATTTCTGCAGCCACGTTTCTGTACAGCATGTCTAACTGGGGAGACCAAGGCAGCCCACAGGCGTCCAAAGAGACAACGGAGACAAGAGAATTGGAACCCCCTTAGAAAGTTTACTTCTGTTTTAATTTACTTTTGTCATCTAGCTTCCTAATTTTTAACATCTTATGGAATATAAATGATTAATTATTGTACAGGTATAGTCGTAAATAAATTAAAGAGATAAAATGATATCAGTTGGTGCATCTTTATATGTTATATATGGCATTATGTATGTTAACAAGTTAAAACCAAATGCTATTCAATATGTAATTAAGACAATGTGGAGTACCATCCATCATCATAATATTTTCAAAAGTTTATGATTATAAGTCAAGTTTGGAAACTGATGCAAACTGATAAACAACTAGAGTCAAGTTAACTTTCAGAGTAGATGTAGACATCTTCTGTGTAGATAAATGATAAATTATTTTAAAAGAAAAATGACAACAAAAGATAACTTTGAATTTACAAAGGGTCTGAAAGACAGAGATTGGTGTTAGAAAACAAAGCTTTCTTTTGTAATCAAGAAATATGCTTTCTTGCTTTCTAAATGCTGAATATTTGGGCTAAGAAGGTAAGAAATGAACGATGTGTGAGATAAGAACCTGGGAACTAAATTGGATACCATAGGGAAAATAAATAAACAAACAAACAAAAAAATAAGTTGTTTAAAATTTAAAACAAAGAAAGAAAAAGTGTTTTTTTTCCCATAACTAATTTGTTAACTATGAGGTATGTGATCACCCATCACCATTTTATCAGGAAATACTTTTTTCTGATAAAAAAGTATTTTTTAATATTATTGCCTTGTTTTGTTGTTATTTTTACCAAAAAATATAGTCGTTGTATTTGTATTAATCTTTGTTTATACATATTCCATACTACCGTTTTTAACTGAAATTTTCATCATCTAAGACTTCTATGAATCTGGATGTATTACTTATTTTATACTTAAATATACACCAAGTATCATACATTACTTGTACTGATTCAAATTTTCTGATATGATTACACTTTGTGGTGAAAATATAGAGGTGAGTATTTTGACAATGTATTGTCAATGTGGCGAATAACCATATAATGTTTGAGATTTACAAATTCACATATATATATTTATAATTATTTCCTATATATAGCCATGTAATACATACTATTAACTGGAATTCAGGAAGTTTGGCTTCTGTATTTTATTTTTGAGAAATTATTATGAATACAGTGTCTTAGATTTATGCTATCAGTTACATGTATGATCTAATTTTTCATAATTGTTTTGTTCTCTGGTAGTTAAATCTCCTCAGATGGACCCAAAATATGTTATCAATAATTCTGATATGAAATACATCAATATATCAGGTACCCAAAATTTACAGTTTCCATAATACATTGTGTATGACCTCCAAAAATTTAATAGGTAGCATTGCATCATAAGTAGTATATTTGGAAATTGTATTTTCTTCTTATATAAGAAATTATGAATTAAAATATTTATGGAGACCTTATAAAAATCATATATATATGTATATATCACTCAAAATATATCAGAAGTGCTCAGAGATCAGCCCATATTACCATTATAGTAGGGCTACCAGATCTAAACAGTTGCTAACCTTTCGCTCAGGCACACCACTCTGCCTTCTTTAAGGTACAGTGAGCACCAGAAATTTGAGAGCCATTCCCAGCATCCCTAAACACCCATGGGTTTGTGCTCAGAGGTAAGATAACAGTGACTTATTTCAAGGCAATTTGAGAATTTCACAAATTTAAATACACAATCTTTAGGATTTATTTATTTTTTAATTTATTTTAATTAATTAATTAATTAATTTATATTCTTCTCCCGAAAGCCCCCCAGTATATAGTTGTATGTTCTAGTTGCAGGTCTTTCTAGTTGTTCTATGTGGGACACCACCTCAGCATGGCCTGATGAGCAGTTCCATGTCGGTGCCCAAGATCCAAACCAGTGAAAACCCGGGCCCACCGAAATGGAGTGTGTGAACCTAACCACGTGGCCATGGGGCCGGCCCTAACTGTACAATCTTTAAAGTGCCAAAATCTGAAAAAAAAATGATGGTAATGTTGGTTTAAATCAGGAGTAACAAACAGGTGGCCCATAGCCCAAAACATGTTTTATTTAGCTGGCATAGCATTAGAAAAATTAAATATATATTAATATCTGTGTAGATATTCCAGTTTGCTAATTAAATATACATTAATATCCATGCAGATCTTCTTGTTTGCTAAGGCCTCACCACGACCTGTTGTTTCACACCTCGGCTGCTTCACCCAATGTAAAACAATCCATTATGTTCCTTAAGGACATACATTTGCAGAGCATTGTTTAAAGAAAAGAATTCATAATTTCAGTCAAATGCTACTCTTTCAAAATAAAATGACTTTCTATAAAAATGTGCTTTTCAAACGTTATATTACTTTAACCACTCATCCATTTACTAACGGATGCTGTAGAAATGTATTCTACAGGAGGGAAAGTAAGGCAAAATAAGATGGACAGTTTTTTTCAATATCCTTCTAGCTCCCTCTCTTTTTTTTCCCGCTTCATGCCTCTTGGCCATATCCAGTTCACAGGACTATTGCATGCCCTGCTTTTCCTGTGTTTCGACAAAAAGTACCCATTTTAGGCATGTTCTTCCACAGAAAAATCTATGTTCTAGTATTTGATTTTCTTCTTTTTCCTCTTTCTCCCTTTCCTTCCTTCTATTTTCTCTTCTTTCTGCCTTCTTCCTTTTCCTCTATAAATTCACATTGCTTCAGGAATATATATTTCAATAGGAAGAAATGTATATTGTGTAATAGACCAGCTAAAATAATGAGTTGTTTTAAAAAATCATTTTAAACAGTGCTTTCCTATGCCTACAAATAAATAGTTTTAAAGAATCTACCATTGAAAAAGAAAGAAAGAAATGGTTAATTCTGACACCAGAACATAGAAGCCACGTCTCATTAAATTTTCTCACTTGCTACCATTATAATCACAAAAATATAAATGAATTTTTCAGAAGTAGGAGGTGTTTTGTGAAAATAGTTGGCATTGGCTTGATATTCAAGGCAGGATGAAGTCAGTAAATAATCATGGTTGCATTGTGAGCTATTCCGTTACTGTGTCGGAATCGAACTGGACCGTTCTTTGAGAATTGCTGTGGCTGAGTGTCTCATTCGCACAGCAGCATCCATGCAGACAAGGGCTGGAGCTGCCCTCATGGACCCTGATCCCACAGCCTGGGCCTGCAGAGCCTTCCCCACACCGGCTCTGGTGCCCAAGGAGAAGCGTTTCCAGGTCCATTTTCTCTCCACACACAGCTCCATTCTCACAAGGACGACCAGCCTCCTGAGGTCCAAATTCACAGTGAGAGCCCGAAAGGAAAGACCAGCACGTCAGGGCCTCTCTAAGGGACAAACGCCTCCACGGCTGCCATTTACCTGGCACATTTCTGCGTAAACGCATTCAATTTAGTCCCTAGGCATCATCCTCTTCGAGATTATCATTGTGATTCTCCCTCTCTCTCCATTACAGTTTAAGAAAGGAATGTTATTTATGATTCCTACGCTTCATCTAACAAAATACCAGCAGGCAGCAATGTTAAGTGACAGCATTTTTGAAAGGACCATTTTGTTTTTTCATACTTTTCACCTCTTGTTCAACAATGTTCTCTGAAGACACTGAAATTAAGTAAGTAGATCACTAATGCTTTGAAACTTCCTGTGTTTTCTTTCTGGTACTGGAGGCTGCTATCCCTACAAGCTTTGCTTGATGGATTTGTTGCTATTCTCAAAACAAGTAAACAATGAGAAAAGAATAATTTAATCAGCCTGTAATCTTAAGAGTAACACCTCAGTCCTGAAACTAACTTTTAAGTTTTACTCAGAAAACATATCTAGATGAAGTGACTGTCACTGGGTGAAACGTATGCAAGTATTTGGAGATAAGCAATAAGATGGATTGATGCAAGAGGATCCATATCAAACAAAAAGTGAAGCATAAACAGCATCAAGTTGTTCACCAAAGCAAAATCATTATTCAGGTGTTAGTTTTCCGGGCATGGTAAAAATATTTGGAATATAGCTGTTGGAAAGTATTTAAATAGTAGCATTCATTCACCAAAATGTGTAGCATATATGTACAAACATAGGCTCTAAAAGTGCCTGCCTAAATATCGCAGAGAAGAAAATGCCCAGTAATCACTGAGTCCTTTAACTGCTCAGGTTTTCTCAGTAATTTCACAGCTGTTGGGACAAGGGGATAATACAAAGAATTCAGAGAAGGGATAAAGTTTTCGATATTTAGAAGGACAGGGTCAGTTGGAGAAATTCTAAAACCTCAGGATCCCTATGGTTCTCTGATCACAAGAAAAAAAGGTAAGAGGGCCCTAGAAACTGCTGAAGATGTCAGCAACGTATACAGAGAGGGGCTCAAAGAGATATAGTTAGTGTCCACAAAATAAGAGCAATACAAGGGTACCGAACTGAATAGACACCCAGGACTTTGAGTTTCCAAGTCCAGCAAAAAGAATAAAAATACAAAACTACCTCCAAACAGCATAGGAATAAAGATTTCCCTCAATAAAAAAAAAAAAAAAATCTATTAAGGGGCTATTTTTTGTAAGAGCTGTGGTAAGTAGTGTGGAGAATTGAAATTGGAACAAGGTCTTCTCCTTGTCCTTAAACCACTACAAGATTGAGTGTATTGCAAATGACACATCTTTTGATACTATTTTATCATAATGAAAGTATTTTTCTCTGTAAAATAAGAGAAATTGCATTGAACAAACATCTGCCAGAAACACATAAAATGAATTGTCCCTAACAAAAATTTCTCATGCATATCTTTTTTCGCTAACTACCTACTTCTAAATATTTAATTGTGAGAATAGGTGTTTTGCTTTGCTAGTGGGAATTTAATTTAGCTTGTGTCTTTCACAGATAATTTCATGCGTATAACCCGTTAAGTTGCTAAACAATAACTCATACTCGTTTTTGAGAAAACACGATAATTCTCTTTTACAGAATATACAAGTTCACTGGACCCTCAATACCATGCTGATTTGTATATTAATTCATTATACAAATATTTAATAAGTCACTACTATGTGGCAAGCAATGTGGTAGATGCTGGGTTTATAAACAATGAGGGGCTCAAATAATCAAGTAAATCAATATTCTGCAATTAGAGGTAAATGGGGTCAATTTCCGGTGTTGAGGAGTCACTGTGGGGGCAGAATTCTAATACGGCTTCCAAGATCTCCACCCCCAGCCCACATGGCCTGTGGAGTCCTCTCCCTTTGAGTGTGGGTGAGATTCATGAACATGATGGAATATAATTCCTGTGATTACGTTACATTAAATTGCAGAAGAGATTTGTGGATATAATTAACGTTACCAGGTCAGATGACTCTGAGTCAGTCAAAGGAGAGATTATCTTGGGTGGGTTTGATCAAATCAGGTGAGACCTTAAAAGAAGTCAAAGGCAATCTCCTCCTTGCCTGGAAGGTGCAAAATGAAAGCTGTGTGGTGGAGTGACACATGGCAGGGAATGGCAGGTACCCTTGTGGGCTGAAAACACTCCAACTAGACAGCTAGTAAGGAAGCAAGAACAGAGTGTTAAAACTGCAAGGAACTAATTTCTTAATTTCTTCCAACAACCCGTGAGCTTAGAAGAGGAACCCCGGCCTCAGATTAGCTCATAGCCCTGGCGGGCAGCTTGAATTCAGCCTTGTGGGACTATGCGCAGAGAACTCAGCTAACCCACGCCCACACTTCTGACCTGCAGAAATTGCAAGGTAATAAATGTGAGTTGTTTTAAGCTGTTAAATTTGTGATAACTTGTTACATAGCATGAAACTATTACAATCAAATATAAGGGTAACTAAGGCATCTTAGGTAATATTGGAAAGCTTCCTGAAGGAGGTAATACTTAAAATAAATCCTAAAGAACTGCCATACATTATCAAGGCTAGCCATGTAGGGCATAGAAGGGATGGGCGGACATTGTAGACAGAGATGAAGGCCAGAAGGTAAGAAAGTCCTGGGAATTGAAAACAAAGTAGTATGAATGGAACACAACGCAGGAAGAAAGCAGATGCATTACCATATTTCATCGATTAAACCATGCCACTGATTATAAGAGACTTTTATGTACCATTAAGGGTAGTGTGGTAGCTTAATAATGCCTCGCCCCAGGTATTCAGGCCCTAATTCCTGAAACCTGTGAATGTCACCTTATATGGCAAACAGGAATTTGCAGAGGTGGTCATGTTAAGGATCTTGATACTGTGCGATTATCCCGGTTTGTCAGGTGGGCCCTAAATGCAATCACAAGGGTCCTCCAAGGGTCCTCATAACCAGCAGGCAAGAAGTTAAAGGGAGAAGGAGACATGACAATGAAAGCGACAGGTTGGGCTGACACAGGAAGGGGTGCTGAACCAGGGAATACGGGCAGCCTCTAGAAGCTGAGAAAGGCAAGGAAACAGAACTCTTCAGAAGGAATGTAGCTCTGCCAACACCCCATTGTACACTTCTGGCTCCAGGACCATAAATTTATAAATTTGTATTGTTTTGAGTTTGTGACAATTAGTTACAGCAGTCATAGGAAACTAATACAAAGGGCAAAAGCTGCCAGTTAAATTCTGACAAAAGGATTAATATATCATTATTGTAAAAATGCATCCTAATGTCAAAGATGCTAAGATGTGATAATGTCAGTTATTATGTTAATATGTGATAAAAATAAGGAGGTGTTAAATGAAATTCACTAATTTGAAATAATATTTGTAGGTTGGGACAAGATCATAAAATGCTTTGTGATCCACAGGACTTGGACCTGTGCACATTGTGAAGCTGTTACAACCCTCCTTCAAAAAAAGTGGTCATGAAGTATACTTGACCTTCTCCCACCAAGAGTCACATTGCATTTCCAACTGTATTTTTAAAATATATAATGTTTATTTTTTCCCTGAGGTTTTATTTTGCTGAAAACTATATCCTATTGCCATACTTTAAAATTGAGAAACCAAGGCCGTATGCATTTTATTTGCATACATAGTTGCTAGGTAAAATTAAAAATTTATTTTCATTAATTTCCTTTTACAACTATGTCATCAATTTGCAAAATCACAAATGCTGAGGTTCCCAATGAAACTGTATTGGTAGTAAAAATGTGCATTTAACAGAACTATTTTCCTTGAGTTGAAATTTGCATCAGTCAAATCAGTATGTTACTTTTGAGTGTATGAATCACTTTTAGTATCAAGTTCTTTATGATGATCTTAAACTTTTTAAAGAAAAATACTGTTTTTAAAAACTCTGAGTGGTATAGATGTTTGTAAAAATGCTAAATGTGAGGCTATATTAGTCTAGTAGTTTGAATTTTTCTTTGTGATGATTTAGATGAACAAAGAAAAAATGCTGTTTAAAAATTTTTAAGTGATAGAACTCAGATATTTATAAAAACACAGCAATGTTGTAAGTTAAAAGATAATAGATTAGGGGCTACATTTCTGTCAGGAGATGTCATATAGGAGGTGACAGTAATGAAGGGCCAGTGACATTCACTTAAAGATAAGTGAAATGCAAATCAAGTCATCCCCCTTGTACAACCTGCAACAACAATTGAAAGGCCCGCACTGGACAGTATACAATGTCTCTACAGTGAGCGAGATTAAGGGGTAGATATTGAGTGAGAGCAGAGTAGTTCTTCATGAAGCCTACCTCAGAATCTTACAGATGTTTTCATTTCATCCTGCAAAATCCAGTATAAATGTATTATCCAAATTCCAAAAAAAAATCCCAATGCCTTTCACTCAACAGAAGAGCCAGATGACACTATATGTCCTTAATGGGTATTAGATGGTGATATTGGTAATATATATTTTTGTGCACTGTAAATCACCAGAGAAGGCTCATATTATCAATTATCCAGAAATTGCACGTAGACCAAAGAAATGGAAGCAATGAATTGTGGGGGAAGATACTATTTCTCTCTCTGTCTCTCTTTTTTTCTTTCTCTCCTTCTCTATCGTCTCTACCTCTCTCTCCAAAATGCCCAAATGTCCCAATCCATGGCTCCCGATTATATTATGAAGATTTGATTTCTTCTGAAAGCTAGTGATCAGTGAGACAGAGCAATGGAAACAACTACTTTTTTTTCCCCATAATCCTTAGAAATTTCCTCACTTATTTTCCCCAAATCCTCACTTACTAGTGGTACATGATATAGATGTATTTTACAAATATTGGTCTTATATTAAATCTATAATTTTTTAAAATTTTTGAATAAAAATTGAATGCATTTCAGGCGTAGAACATTGTCACTGGGTGGAATGTATACAGGTACTCAGCAGCAATAGGACTTTCAGTGGTAAATTGAGATCAAATATAAAAGGAATTTGCTCGTTTGCAAATTTACATGTTTGGTGCTATACATTTTGATCCCAGTCCACAACCTTCAAGATGCTGACTTTCAGTTTAATGGGGAGCAAGAAAGCCTGGGGCACAACAGCCCCCTACCCCCCACTGTTTGTGATGCGCTGCACAGCGTTGTGTGGGGAGTCACTGAAAAGCAATATTTAACCTTTTGCTTTACAAGTGGAACAGTAAGCATTTATCAGGAACACATTCTAAGAGTTCAGCCTAGATTCTTGCTTAGTCATTTTCCCAAGCCCACATCTTGATACCACCGACAAGAAGAAAGTTTTCGGGAATTTTTCTCCTGTGACAAGACATTTAAATTCAGATTCAAGATTAAAATATGGTACATAATGGTCTAATAAATTAAACAGTCTCAAGTGAAAAATGATTGGTGAGGTTAAAAGTTTGAAAAAGTAGAACAATTCTAGTCAAGACTGAACGAGGCTCCTGCTTTCACATCACCACAGCTCTCCTCTTTAACACAAACTTTAGTCTTCCAAGTGCTCTTGTCATCATATTTGACAAAAATAACTTTAACTTTGGGAAATAGTCGTAAACATAAATCAGTACCTTCTATAAACTTCTACTCAAGAGTAAATAAATAAAGAATAAAGACAAATGTAATAAAAATATTTCTGGGTTTGTATGTTTAGGTAGTTTTGATTCACCATTCATAATAATAACAATCACTTAGAACTTAAAACGTACGAGGTACTTTTTAAGCGTTTTGCATATGCCGACTCATTTTATCCTCGCACAGAGTCTATGGGTAGGTGCTGTTATTATCCCTTGTTCTAGGTGAGGAAACTGAGGCGCAGGTTGATTACGTCAGCAGGGCAGCCATGCTTCCACCCGGCCGTCTGGCCCAGATTCTGTAAATTCATAGTGTGGTGCTGCTTCTCTTGCTCCTCAGTTTCTCAAAACCGTTTTTTTTTTTAATCTAAGAAATTTCATGTATTTTCATGTAAATAAATTGAAATGTGTTTTTGCTTTATATTTAGTCTCTGAGTTGCCTACTAGTTGAAAATAATAGGTTTTTATGAAGATTATTACTTTTTTGCATTCTTGTGATTCTATGCAAGCAGCATAAAGTGCAAGGCTTTTAAAAAATGTCCCAAATATTAAGTTCTAGGCACTAACATTCACTCTTGTTTGAAAGTGCTCCCAAGTGACTTTTTAAATAACCTTGAGAAAGGTTAGCTATACCTCTAAGCATTCTTTGAGTATTATCAGCCAAATGACTGAGTTCAGCAATTTCATCGCATAAATCCTCAACTAGGGTGATTAAAGGTAATGAATTTAGGTTAAAGCCTAAAATTGAATCGAATAGAAGCAGATGAATTCCTATATCTTATTCCTATATATAAAACTCTTCTAAATTTTGAGAAATAATGTCACATTTATATTTCCAAGAAAAAACACTCTTCTGAATATCTTAGAGATTAAATTATTCAATAGACTTTACAGAGTATATTTGTGTCCATTATAATATTGAAAATCAATATGCATTACCCACAGAATGTACACTTGATAAAACATATTTAGTCATAGCAAATTTTAAGAGATCTGAGTCCCCTTGAATCCATATTAAACATATACACCACCAAATGTCAGAGATGAAGCAACTGCATATCCCTGACTTAAAACAACATTGGGGAAAAGCACATATTATACCTACTAAAATCTCTGCAACAACGAAAATGAATTGATTTTAAACAAAGGGTGTAATGAATGTATAAATCCAAGTGATTTCTCTGTTGAAATATGCATAATATTTGACTCTGGTCTTCTTATCTGTTTAACCATTATAAATTTAGTGAATATAAGCTATCGAAAAAAGAAAAACTAAGAATTCTTTCATTCAGCAAATATGCAGTGAGTGCCCTTGGTGTAAGATGCTAGCTCTAGCAGAGCTAAGCAGTAAAGGCATAAAAAGAAGAACAAAATAATTCCAGGCTCATGGATCTCAAATTTTACATAACAGAGCAGATATATGTCCATGAGCTCAATACCTGTTTTAATGAAACTCTATAGGAGGTACACTGGGCACAAATGAAGAGTCATTATAAAAGATGACCTGGGGCAGTGACCCTCAATACAAGTGTCTCGAGATATGTACAAGTCACTCACGTACAGGATATATTTTGAAAATTGGCCCATAAATACAACATTCCTGATAGTTAACTTATCCCAAGAGTACTCTAAATTCTCATATGCATTTTTATTATGCAATCCTGTGTCATTGTCTCTAATTCTTCATCAGTCATTATCTTCCTATGACCATCTAGCAATCCTTCAAGCCTTTTCTTGCAGAGATTGAAAAAGACTTCTTCAGTCACTTATTTCATTCAGGAAGTCTTAACATACGTTTTCTAATACGACTTGATTAATATGAGCTCATTCTAGCCACTGTTGGTTTAATACATGGGACAAAGACATTATTAGGCAAATATAATTAATTCAGGTAAGTTAAACACTGTAGGTTAGAACTCTGCTGTAGGTATTCTCCAGAAAAAAAGAGAGAGAAAGAGGGTTTAGAGTTTCCAGGCTGATGGCTCATGAGCAAGGTACAGGACATGACATAAGGTAAACACACAGCAAGGCATTTGTGCACTGAAGGATGGGCTACAAATATGACAGAAGTCGTTATATGGGGCTGGCTTGCCTCCCTGTATCTGACGTTCATTTAGGAGAGCACAGTGCAAAAGCCTACCTAGCATTTTGGAAAATACGGTCAGGAAATAAGTGCTCATTCAGAAATCTGGGACTAATCCATCACCACATGGATTCGAGCCTTTAGCGTTTGTTTACTTATAATGTTTTTCTCTGACAGTGAGCAGCTTGGTTCCCATTATCTACAATTTATTTACTTACTGGTTCAGCCCTAGTATACAAGTAAAGTAGTTTCAGAATTACTAACCTTTTTCTCTGTGAGACACAAATTTACCCACAAGAGTATGGTGTTTAGGTACAGATTTTTTGGCATTTATCTTACTGTAACCAGTCAAAACACTGTTTTCCAGTTATTTAGGTCAGCTCCATTTGTCCGCACTTCATTTAGTAAGGTCCTGTCATCCATTTGTAATGAACTTGAATTTATTTGTGACAGTCTGCATTCTGTGATTGGACCTTTCGATATTTTGATTTTGCTTCTAATTCACTTCTAGTAATGTTCACTCTGTAGTGTACAGTTCTATGAATTTTGACAAACGTAGAGATTCATATATCCACCGTCAGAGTCCCATATAGAAGAATTGGCTCACCCTAATGATTCTCTTGACTGCTCCATTGAAAACAACCCGTCCTTCAACTTCCTGGCACACACTGATCTGCTTTCTGTCCCTATGGTTCTGCCTTTTCCTGAATGTCATATAAATGGAATCATGCAATGCACATCTTTTGTGTCTGGTTTCTTTCTCGTAGCAAAAAATATTTATGTTTTATCAATATTGTCTTAATAATTTATTTCTTTTCATTGCTGAGCAGTATACCACTGTACAGATGTAGCAGAATTTGTTTCTCCAGTCCCCTGTTGAAAGGCATGTTGACCGTTTCCAGTTTTTTGGTGAATATGGATAAAGGCATAAATGTGCACTACAAACATTTGCATATAGACTTCGGTGTGAACATAAGTCTTCAATTCACTTGAGTAAAGACTTGAGTGCTGGTTCACATGGCAAGTGTATGCTTAGTTTATAATAAACTGTCAAATTATTTTCCCGAGTGGCTTTACCATTTTGCATTCCCATCATTCCCAATGAAGAGAGTTTTTGTTGCTCTGCCTCCGCACAAGCATTCAGTATTGTCATTTATCTGTTCTTTGTTTATTTAATTTTAGCCATACTAATAGGTGTGTGGCATCACTGTGGAGTATTAAGATCAATTTTTGTTAACTTTCTATTTTAATATGGCTTAAACTGACAAAAAAAATAAAAATAATTCAAGAAACTTCAGTACTTAATTCAGTCACAAATTGTTTGTATTTTCCTATATTTGCATTAATATTTCCTATTTACACGTACGTATACGACATGCATTTCTAGTATATGTTATATTACATCTGTCAGATGCATTTCATTTTGAAGAAAGTGAACAATTTGTGAGAAAGTACTGCAGTGTGCATTTTCTAAAGACAATATTATTCCTTACACTGCCACAGTACAATTATCAAAATCACATCTATTATCTAACCCACAGTCTGTATGCAAATTTTGTCACCAACCCCAATATTTGCTGGAACAGTTATTTATCCTTTCTTGGTCTTTCTGGACCTTGACATTTTGCATATTTCAGTCCAGAAATTTTGTAAAATGCCTGTCAATTTTGGCTTATCTGATTTGAGATTATGTACACATCCTGTCTCATATGAATCATTCACCCGCTAGCTCTAGTAACCATGGATGATTTTCTAACTCGACCATTGCTTTCATATATGTCAGCTGACATTCTGCTATAATGAAGAGCTTTCCCTTCATACTTCCCCAAGTATTTGTCTGTTTTTCAATTCATTATATATTTACTTAAGAATTGAGGTATTTATTATATTATTAAGTGGATTATAATCCATTAACTTCGTTATTCATTTTAACACTCAAATTTTCTCATATTTGGCCAGCAGAAGTACTTTCAAGCTGGCTCTTTTGTGTCCTTTTGATAAATTCTCATTTTTCTTTGAGTACTGTTTTATTTTGTAATACGAAAAAATATTTATGGTTTATCTTATAGTTTCCCTTCTTCAGGCTTGGAGTTTGTCTTTTCTCTAAAAAGCCATGGTTTATATAAGTAGAAGATGATATTTAGAAATCAAGAACTGTGTGATATGAGTGCTCAACTATCAATGGACAGAGCTAGGAATTGTACATATATGTGTATATCTACACATATAAACATATGTACATACACATATATTTTCCTATATCTGCACCTAGATACACACACAGATATACATGCAGACAAATACTTCAGACAGACACACACACATGCATTGGGGTCATGCTGATACATACAATTTCATTCATAGTACCGTATAATATAATACATGCATGCATGTACTTGTATAGTTATATTTATGCTTCTGTGTCTACTTATTAAAAACCATGAATTCATACTCATACCTCCAATTTATAGCCAACACCCCAGGGTGCTTTATAGTTGACCTCCTTTCCGTCTTTGTAAATTCCCTCTCCAACAGTGAGAAATCTAGCTCCCATTATCCTCAATGTATTTACTAATTTGCTCAAGGCTATAATACACAGAAAAAAGTTTTAGAATTGCTAACCCAAACAACTGAAGAAAGCAAAACTACTAATCAGAAATCAATTTACAGTCTTGTTTTTTGCCAAAACTTACATAGAATAAATGCATAAATCTTAAGTGTACATTATGTGAGTTTTTACAAATGAATAAACTTCTTAACTCACAGGTCATCTTTTAAGATATAGAACCTTCCATCACCTCAGAAATTTCCTTCATTCCTCTTTCCCAATCAACGCTATCCTCGGAAACAACCACTTTTCTGGTTTTTTTTTTTCCTATTTGAGAAACAACATAAGTGAATCTCACAATATGTTCTCTTTCCGTCCATCTTCTTTGTTTAGCATAATGTCTGAGAGTCTTGTGTATCAGGAGTCTGATCCTTTTTATTACTGAGCAATAGCCCATGGCATGTGCATATCACGAGTTGTTTATATATTTTCATGTGGACACACATTTGGCTTGTTTCTAGGTTTGAGTTACTATGACTAAGACTGTTGTAAACATTCTTGTAAATGCTTTTTGTAGACAAATATTTTCATTTCACTTGCTTATATACCTAGGAGTCGATTGCTGTCCTTTGTTAGATGTACGTTTAACTTTAAAAGTAACTTCCAAACTCTTTTCCAAATTTTTTCATTTTATTTTCAATCAGTAATTTTATCTATCACCAAGGTATAAGAATTCTGGTTAGTTCATATTTTCAACACTTAAAAAAACTTTAGACATTTTGGAGTAGTATTCATCCTTGGGTTTATTTTGCGTTTCCCTGATGATTAATGATGGTAAGATCTTTTTATTTGCTTATTTTCCTATATGAACGTTGGTTCCAGTCATTTGCACATTATTTTTAGTGGGTTTTTTACATTATTGCATTATAGATATTCCATGTATATTCTACTTTAAGTCCTTTGTCAGGTAGATGTTTGCATATATTTTCTCTCATGCTGATCTATTTATTTTCTCAATAGTGTCTTTGGCAAGCAAAAATTTTGAATTTGTGTAGTGTAAATTATCCATTTTTCCTTTTATGGATATTACTCTTTGCCTTTTCTAATAAATAAAAGCTTCTTCCTAGCTCGAAAAGAGCTACTCCCATGTTTTCTCCTAAAAGCTTTATAGTTTTGGCTTTTACATAAAGATCAATGATCATCTTAAATTAGTGTTTTGTGTACAGTATGAGGTAGAAGTCAATGTCATTTTTCCCCGTAAATATCTACTTATTTCATTATTGTTTGTTGAAAAGATTTTCATTTTCCAGTTGAATCACTTTGGATCCTTTGTTGAAAATGAACTAATTGTATAAATGTGGTTCTATTTCTAGAACCTTCTTTCACTTTCATTGATCAATATTCCCTTCTTTCCTTCCTTCCTTCCTACTTTCTTTCCTTCCTCACTCCCTCCCTTCCTCCCTTTGTTTCTAATAAAACGTTCTCTTGATGTTAAATTGCAAAGTCAGATAGTATAACTTCTCCAGACTTGTTCTTTTATTCAGTAGATTGTTTTAGCCATTATAAGTTCATACATTTCCATTTTTTAAACCAAATTGTCAATTAAAAAAAAACAAAACACTACTTGCATTATAACAGGTATTACACTGAATTTATAGATCATCTTAACCATACTCATTCTTCCAATATATGATCAGGTTCCATTTTTCCATCTCTACAATTCTTCTTTATCTCAGCAATGTTTTATGGTTTTATGCATAGACATTCTTAAATGTTAATTTAACACTGTTTTTTATGCTTTTGCAGCTTTCATAAAAGGACTTGTAGAAAGTTTCATTTCTAAGCTCAACATAAACCTGATGCTATGATAGAAGAAAAATTTTTGAGTCTCAGCAGAGAGTGAGTATTTTGCATGCAGATGAAATGTAAACAATCTGTGGCCCCACGCATGGTAGCAGAGAAAAATAACTACGACCCCTCTTTTTGAATTTGGATGAGCTCTGTGAATGTTTGTCTAACGGAACCCTGGAGAAGTGCTACTTTGTCAATTTTGCAGCAATAAATCTTAAAAGACTGGCAGTCTCTTGTTCCTTCCTCTTGAAACACTTGCTCTAAGATCAGGTTTCTCAATATCAGCAGCACTGACAGTTTTACCTAATACTTTTTTGTTGTGTGGGGCTGCCTCATAACGTGTTTGACAGCTTCCTGTGCATCCACCCTGGGCTAGTTTGCTAGGGCTTTCTCACAAACTGCGTGGCTTAAACAGAAGAAATTTATTGTCTCACAGATCTGGAGGCCAGAAGTCCCCAATCAAGCTATTGGCAAGGTTGGTTCTTCTGAAGATTTTGAAAGAGAACCTGTTTAATGCTTCTCTCCTAGCTTCTGATGTTTGCTGGCAATCTTTGGCTTGTAGAAGCATCACCCCAACCTCTGCCTTTATCTTCACATGGTGATCTCCTTCAGTGTGTGTCTGTGTCTAAAGTTTCACTTTTGATAAGGACACCAGTCATATTGGATTAGGGCCCCATGCTACACCAATGTGACTTCATCTTAACACGTTACATCTGCAATGACCCTATTTCCAAATAAGTCCACATTCTGAGGTACTGGGGGTTAAGAATTCAACATGTGAATTTTGGGAGGACACAATTCCACTCATAACCTAACTACTACATGCTATTCTCACCTATCCAGTTGTGACAACCAAAACTATCTCTACACTTTGCCAAATGTCCCCTGGAGGGGCAAAATCATCTCTATTTGAGAACCACCGCCCTACAAAAAATCGGATCAAAAAAATTTTGATTACCCTTGAACTGCCATGTTGTGAGGAAGCCTAAGCTAGGCATACTGAGAGCCACATGGAGGAAGGGTGGTGAGCCAGACTCCGTTGACCAAAAAGGATAATCATTGGTCATTTAAGAAATTATGCAGCACAGTGCAAACTCTGGTCACTATAACTCACATCCTCCCTGTGAAAAATATGCTCTCTCCACCCGCAAATGCATTGTCTCATTGGAATTAGCTTGAATTCTAAGCTATCATTATTTAAGTTAAGCCCAAATGTAGAAGAGACTGCTTCATTATAGTTTCTCTGTTTTAACATTTGGATATGGCTTTTCTTGATTCAGAGATCTACAAATTAAAAAGACAGGTTATCTGCTCATCCATATTGTCAGTATACAAAGCTGAGGCAAAGACAAGAATATTGCAATGAATACACATTTGAAAGGGGAGGAAAGGGAGGAAAGTACATAGTAAAGACTGGCACATAGTAAAGACCGGTCCATAGTACTCTGGGTCCCTACTTTGCAAGCCATGAGTAATGGCTCATGTTTGCAGCTGAGTAACTTTTGCAGCTTACTTACTGCCAGACCCACTCATTTCTCTGAATTATGTCCTGTTTACCTTAGGGGGAGAGTTAGTGTAAGCCCTTAAGGTTTTTAACAGTATTTTTGTCTCGCTGAGGGGTCTACATGCCTCTGACTTAAGTTATTCTACAGTCTTAACAAAGGATTTAAAAGTCATGCAGTCTTGGGTCTCATCATTAGCTCATCTCCTTCCTCTCCTGTTTTGTCACAGGACACTAAATGAAGCTATTTGTTAATTCTCCACATGCTGGGAAAGATGTCGTTGACATATGTGGATAGATTTGATCAACCTGAAAAGCTTATATACTAAAAAGGTAAAAGTTGAGGATGCTGAATAGTATCAAATATTGAAGATGAGTAATATCCTGGAAGCTAAGGAAGGTAAGAACTGAAAAACAATAGCAGTGTCATCACTTTCGAAGAGCTAAAATTATTATGAGTGTATTGCAAACCAGTCCTTCTCTGGAATTTTGAACTTAACTATAATTTCCCTAATTGTTAGAGAGTCAGGGGTATATTATTTCCTATTGGAGATGCAAATCAAAAATGATTAGTATAAAGTGTAGGTTAGAGTTAAGCATTTCTCTGAATGTGCCAGACCTGTCATTCTATCGTTGCACATATACAGTTACCCCGATGGGACCAGCTCTGCAATGTCTTGTTAATTTAACCCTATAGCATGTTCAATATAATACGTTCATACTTACAGTCAGTAACAATACTTTTTTCACTTTATATCCTATTTTTATAGAAAATGTAGTCAAATATAATTACCAAACAGTTGAGTAGCCTATAGGTTCTAAAGAAAAAAGATAGGGAATGTCAAACTGATAAATAATAGCTCTGATGTATTAAGAAGAAATACAACTGAAATCATACAATTAAAGAAATATTTGATCAAGATATTAAATACCTCTGAATTCTAAAAACAGGGAAAGAAATTAATAAAAGAAGAAAAGAGAATTAATTCTGTTTATAAGTAGTACAAAGAAATATGCTTATCTTCTACTCAGGTTCCCTTCATGCTTGCTGTCTAAATGGCCTCAGTATCTAAGTATTTATATGGAACTAAAGGCAATGATGTAATCACCAAGAAGGTGAACACAATACTGATTGTCAAACTAACATGTGCTTCATGCTTCCTATTTTAATTGCTGCACAGAAAAAGCAGGAGACAAAATAGCCAACATCAACTATTAAATGACTAGTTTTTTTCTATTAGATTCTTACTATGAACTCAATACTTAATAGTTCATCTAATTTATTTGACTCCTCCAAATTAATACTCATAGTGCTACTTTCATTAAAAGAATTAAATCAAATTGACTTTTTGTTAATATACTCAATTGATCGCTAGTTGACTTTAAGAAATTTTCACAGCTTTGAAGGTGGTTGCCTGCATATTGCCCCCAAAATATTTTGTCCTCCAAGAATGTTTAGTATCGCTGTGGACTGACTTGTCTGGAGCATTTAATGGCAACATCTGCGGCTCCCCATTGTAGATCAACACAAGAATGACTGAAAAACTAATTGCTCCATTATCTGTACTCCTGTCTTTTTCTCCACAAGCACTTAAAAATATGTACTTAAATCTGCTTCCTAATTACAACTTCCCCTAACAGAGTGTCCTATCCAGAAAACAGCATTACTATTCCGGCTTTCAACACACTTAAGCATTTTTATTTTGCTGAGTTTTCTTTTCTTCTCTGCTTACTTTCTTTTGCAAACATGTTTAATGGCTAATTACCAACTCTGCTTTGTTATCTTAATTGCTACACATTTAGGGACATGTGTCACTAAACCTTTAGCAGATAAGATATTTGCTCAAACAATATTTCTACTCTACTTGCACATACACGGCCTTATTAGAATTACATTTTTGTTAGTTTAAGCACACATTTTCTTGAGAATCAAACAATAACTTACCTCAAAGCCCTGTCTTCTTTGTATTACATATTGGAAACTTTTATGTTTTAGAAGAAAAGGGAGACAACTTATTACTCCAAAAGGTGATAGAAGTACCCAGACCATTTCTTTAACAACGATATATGCAATATTATTTTCTCCCAGGATTCCTTCATTGAATAAAATTCAATATGCAAATAGTTCATTACATGAATTATGAAATCACCAACAAGTTAGTTAGTTACTAGTAAATGTACACTTAAAATTTTGGATTTATCAATCATACCTTTTAGAGGGAATCACATTAACTTAATGTAGTTCGAAGTATCACTAATGTGCATTAGGAAATTTGAGAGTTGTGGTCTTTTCCATCAAGCAAGAGAACACTCTGAGATGGACTTTGCCTCCTCAAGTGCTTCACTGGTAGGGTGGGACTGGCTAAGTGGGTCAGGAGCAAGATGTCCATTCCACGTAGTCATCGCCACCTATCCTTCACTTCCATTATATTTCATGGACATTACTTCCAGAATTTAAAATTACTGATTGGGCAAAGGCTGCACTACTGGTTGGCACTGACTATATTTTTTTAAACAAATAGTAATAACTAGCATTTGTAAAACATGACCACACACACAATTGCACTTAACTCTGGAGGATAGATGAGTAGGTGTACTTAATCCCAGCTGTGTGTATGTGTGTGTGCATGTCTCTACAGGATTAATAATTTTCTTTTTATTTCATACGTAGAAGGAGAATTTACACACTGAGGCATTGTTTATTCCTATTTAATCCACACATGGAAATAGAAAAACCTCTACTTAGCACATTTTGGAAAGCAAGATAAACTAATATCGCTGAATTCTTCTTGGAAGTGTTGGGCATAGAGAGCCTTAGTGGAGGGTGCTCCAGAAAGCAATGAGTGGCCGTGACAATAGACTGGTTCATGACAATAGTGCTCATTGGGAAAGACTGGTTTATACCTCCTTGTTTTAATTAGAATAGAAAATTGTGAAATCCAAACATGCAGAACATGTATGGAGTCCATATCTTGCTTTCTTACATGAGGTTTACTTCAGGGAAATCCTAATAATTACCTCCATCAGGGAAGGTAAAGACCTTTTTGTATTTATTAAAATTCTCTGCTCATTGCTGAAGAAAAATTTAGTTCATAGTAAGCAGAAGACAAAATAATAATGCCCTTTCCTTCAGAAGGAAATGCATTTTTGTTGTTTATTTGCTAGATTCAGTTTCTAAGACTAGATCTTGCAAGGGAGCCTAGATTAAATCAAAGCCAACCACTTGCTAACAAGTGGATGGACACCTCATGGAAAAAGCATTGTGTTGAGTAATTTATTTTTGTATTTATTTGTTCTCTTAAAAAAGAATAAAAAAGATTCCACAGATTTCAAAAGAGATATATAGCATTAATAACATTATGTGTGAAAGCTATGCTATTTGTGGAGGACCCATAATTATAATGCTAGAAACTAACATGCATAAAAACACTGCGTTATTCAGCTCTCCAGAAGTAATTATACAGAGATTTTTCTCATTGTTTTCTGTTGTCCCCATAAATGGACTATATAAAATCACACTCCACTTTTTGGGTAAATTCCTTTCTTTAATGTATGTTTTAATAAGCTATAACTAGCAATGAAACATAACCTCTCTAAATGGCAAAACATTTGAACCAGGGTATATTCCTAAAATAAACACTCAAAGCCCTATATTGTACAAATTCACATATGTGGTAAATGGTAACTGTATGTATTCCTTAAATTTTCAGAAGAAAGCTCATAAATTTATAAGTTCAGAAATATATGTATTATTTTTCTGGCATAAATTTTACTCAAAATTGAAAAATTGTATTAATCTAGTATAGTGGAGTAGAATTACGTATTTTCTATAACTGGAAGTCTTTGCACATTACTTTAATAAAACATATGTTAGTGCAGATAAAGAACCAACAGATAACACTTCCACTACACCAACAGAAAACTATGAGTAGCTTATAAAATAGGTTATTATTTGAGTATTTTCTATACCAAGGGTCAGCAAATGTTTTCTGAAAGGAGCAGACAGTAAATAATTTAGGCCTTACAGGCAAAGAAAACATACACTCTGATGGCTTCAGCCATCAGCAGTTCATAAATAAATGGGTGTGCTGGTGTTTGTGAGATGGACCAGATAGGAAGGGCCGGGATCTGCCTCTGGGAGACACAGTTTGTTAACTCCAGTCTACTCAATACAGAAGAACTACGCTGACCGAATTGTTGAATCAACTAAATATTTACTAAACTTAATCCTAATATTTTAATGAACTTTGCTGGTTTCATTTTTCATGTATAATCTTTTTCTTTCTTTTTAAAATAGATTGTAAAATGGCTAACAGGCTTAGAACAAACTTAATCAGAGAATAAAGAATTACTAAATTAAGAAAATAAATTTCATGTGCATTTTATATAGAAACTGAATTCATAACTGTATTACACATTTTTTTTAAAAAAATATATTTATCCATGGGATTTTAAAAATCAATTCCAGTGCAATTTTCAAGGAAATCTCTATGATCATTCAAGGGATAATTCTTAGAGTCACTAATGCTAGTTGCTGTAAAGAAGAAACTCCTTGTAACCTTCGTGACTTGACACAATAACAACTCACTTGTTTGTTTGTTGTTTGCTCACTCAGTACGGTAGGGATGCTCCCGGCCCCTGGGTATTTTACTACCTTAGAATTTAGGGACCTATGTTTTTCCATCTTCCGGTTTTTCTCTCATTGGGAATGCCTTCAGTTCTCCTCAGTGTCCCTTTGATATGCTCTCATGGTTTTGTATTTCGAGTACTTCATTGCTTTTTGGCATTACAAGATTTTCCACGCTTTTGTACATTCAGTATCCTGGTCCCACAATCAACTAGATCTCTAAGGAGATCTGGTTCATTTTATTGGAGAATGGTAAGAGAAATGAAGATCTAGGCATTGGGCAACCTTTGTTATTTTTAAAAGGAAATATATATTTTTTTATTTATTGGTATTGTTTAGACTATTCTCTATGTATCTTTAAAGATGTATGTTTAAACAAATATGCATTGATTCCTACCTACCCAAACATTATAAAATATCACCTATTGTATGGATTTTACATATATATGTTAGAATTATTTAAAATTACAATTAAACTCTTGATGATTATTAATTTCTGGCAGGCAATGTAGTATTTATATGAGACAATCTACCTTCAAATCAGTGATGTAGGTATATTCTTATTTCCATTTAACAGATAAGAAAACTTATGACTTTAAATAGGTGCCAAATATTTGAAGTTGCTCAGGCAATCATATTGTTTAATTAGTAATTGTAAGGAGATACTAAGAAAATTAAGTACAACATGTAAAAATATCTAAATTGATTATGTTTAGTTGAACGCTGTGATGGCTAATTTCAGGTGTGTATTTGACTGGGCCACAGGG